ATGAACTTAGTAGGACAGAGGAATTGAATGCAGAGCAGGCATTGACTTTAGAATGCAAAGAGTGAGCAGGAGAACAAGAGGAAGCAGAGGAAGTATGCCCAGATCATGTTGTGCTTTCTGGGCTCTGGAAAGAATAATATTGAATATTTACTGAACAATTACTATGTGCCAGGTTCTAGTTTAAGTTGCTTTATGTGAATTAATTCATTTAACCCTCACAACAACCTTTTGAGAGAGGTACTATCACAATATTTTACCATGCAGTACTGAAATGGAGAGTAAATTGTTCAAGTAAATTGTTCAAGTAAATTGTTCAATCCACATCACCAGAAAAATCTCTGAGTCAGGATTCTAAACTAAGCAGGTATACATAGTCTTTCTCTTCTTAACCACTATGGTACGCTTCCCAAAGCCAGTAAATTGCATGTGTTGTATTAGAGTAATGTAATGTGCTTTAAAAATTATAAACACTGGCTTAAATTAGACACAAGGATGATGTGGATGATGTGGATTGTGACTCTTTTATCTTTAATGTTTACCATAGCTAATATGTAAAAAAAAAATGATTTAGAGGACAAGAATATAAGCAAGAAGATAAAAAAAGATGCTGTTGGTCAAACTCTTCCAACTAAATGGGGCCAGTGTACTATGGGAATTTTTGAATTCACTCCTCAGTACCACCAAGTACTTATGACAAAATACAATGGAAAAAAAAATCATCTTCTTACATGTGGCAATCTCTTTTATATCTATAGTAGCAAAATATCAAGTCAGGTACATACTGCATAGAGTGTAGATTCAATAGTTGTTCAGATGTTTACTGTTTAGGAACCACATGACTTCCTAAAAAAGATGGATGCATATCTTACATATCCACATGGCAACAACATAAGCCCCAAGGAGTAACCTAAAATGATTATTACTTTCTATTCATTTGTCTTTCAGTGTCATCTGCTGGGGGAGATTCAGGGAATAAGAGGGTATGTGCATTCCAAGTCATATCTAACCCACAGTGGTTTTCCAGTAGCCCACAAAGTGTGCTTGGCTACTTAGACTAGCCTCTGCTCTACATACACACAATTTAAAGCTACCAGAAAAGGAAATTAGCTGGTCAACTATTAATAGCTTTATTTCATTATAGTCAGAAAAGACAATGGATATGATTCTGACTTTAAAAAAATTTTTGAGACTTTTTTTGTGGCCTGACACATGGTCGATCCTGGAGAATGTTCCATGTGCTGATGAGAAGAAGTTGTATTCTGTAGCTGTTGGATGAAATGTTATGTAAATGTCAGTTAGGTCCATTTGATCTATGAAATCTGATGTTTCTTTCTTGATTGTCCCCCTAGATCATCTGTCCAATCCTGAGATTAGGGTGTTAAAGGCCCCCAACTATTGGAATCTATCTCTCCTTTTCATCTAATAATATTTGATTTATATATCTAGGTGCTCTAGTGTTGGGTGCATATATATTTCTAATTATTATATTTTATTGCTAAATTGATTACCTTGGTATTATATAATGAGCTTCTTTGTCCTTTTTTACAGTTTTTGACTTAAAGTCTATTTTATCTTATATAAGTATGGCTATTTCTACTTTTGGTTGTTGCCTAGAATATCTTTTTCCATTCCTTCACTTTCCATGTATGTGTGTCTTCACAGATGAAGTGAGTTTCTTCTAGGCAGCATATAGTTGGGTCTTTAAAAAAATCCATTCAGCCAAGTCTGTCTTTTAATTGGTAATTTAGTCTGTTTACATTTGAGGTTATTATTGACAGGTGAAAACTTACTCCTGTCATTTTGTTAATTGTTTTCTGGTTGCTTTGTATATACTTTGCTCCTTTCTTCAATTTTTACTGTTTATCTTTGCAGTTTGGTAGGTTTCTGTAGTGATAAAGCTTGATTCATTTCTCTTTCTCATTTCTATATCTGCTCTATCGTTTTATACTTTTGCATGTTTTCATGATGGTAATCTTTCTTTTGTTTCCAGATGTAGGACACTCTTAAACCTTACTTGTAATGCCAGTCTAGTGGTGATGAATTCCCTCAATTTTTGCTTCTCTGGGAAAGATATTATTTCTTCATTTCTGGAGGATAGCTTTGCTGGGTATAGTATTTTTGGCTGATAGTTTTGCTGGCAGTTTTTTCCTGTCAGCACTTTGACTGTATCATCCCATTCTCTCCTGCCCTGTAAGGTTTCTCCTGAGAAACCTACTGTTATTATAATAGGGATTACAATATATGTGACTTGACACTTTTCTCTTGCTGTTTTTAGAATTCTGTCTTTGTCTTTGACCTTTTTTTAATTTTTTATTTCAGCATGTTATAAGGGTACAAATGTTTAAGGTTACATATATTGCTCTTGCCCCACCTGAGTCAGAGTTTCAAGTGTGTCCATCCCCCAGACGGTGTGCACCACACCCATTAGGTATGTATATACCCATCCCCTCCTCCCCCTCCCATCTGCCTGACACCCAGTGAGTGCTATTACTATATGTTTGACTACTATGTGCCTTATAAAGGACCTTCTGGGGTTAGATCTATTTGGGAACCTTTGTGCTTCCTGGATGTGGACATTGATATGTCCCAAGACTTGGGATATTTTCAGCTATTATGTTTTTAAAGAGATTTTCTATGCCTTTTCTCATTTTTTTCTCCTTCTGAAATTTTCTCAATGCAAATATTTGTCATCTAATTGTGTCCTGTAATTCCCATGGGCTTTCTTCATAATTTTTTATCCTTTTTTGTTTTTGTCTGACTGGGTTATTTCAAAGACTTGTCTTCAAGTTCAGAAAGTCTTTTCTCTGCTTGGTCTATTTCATTGTTGAAGTTTTGATTGTATTTTTTATTTCATTTCTTGAATTATTCAGTGCCAAGATTTCTGTTTGGTTCCTTTTTAAATGATATCTATATCTTTGTTGAATTTCTCATTCATGTCATGAATTGTTTTCCTAATTTTGTCATATTATCTATCTGCATTCTCTTGTATCACACTGAGTTTCCTTAAGGTCATTATTTTGAACTATTTCTCAGGCAATTTATAGTTTTTAAATCTGGGATCTGTTACTGGGGAATTCTTGTGTTTCTTTGGAGGTGTAATGTTTCCTTGCTTTTCATGTTTCTTGCATCTCTGTATTGAGTTTTGTACATTTGGTGGAACTGTTGCCTCTTCTAATTTTATGGAGTAGCTTTCATAGAGAAAGACTTTTTCCTTTAGTTTTGTCCTTAATTAACATTATCAGTTTCTACAAGTATCTCAGAGTCCTAGACTGGGGGTATTCACAGAGGCAGTGATGTGGCTTTGCTGGGGGCTGGGGACACCACGTGGTCTGGCTCTCAGGCTCTAGGGAGGCAGGGCATGTGCTGAGTGTCATGGCTCCACTAGTCAGGTGTGGCAACACTGACAAAGTGAGAACCAGGCAGGACAGTATTCAGGTTCTGAGAAGTGTGTATGGCATACGGTAGCTTCACTGGTCAAAGAGTGAAGTCAATGGCAGGCTAGAGTATGTGCAGCATGCAGTGGCTTCACCATTCGAGGGCAGCCAAGTCATTTTAAACTAGCTGTTCCTCAGATGGCCTACTAGCTAACCACAGATGCATCTGTAACACCAGTTGAGATAGCCAATCCTGCCTTTAATTATCAGAACCCTTCAGTTAAGCCCAATTCTAATCCACAAATCATAGTATCATGAGCTAAATAAATGGTCACTGTTATAAGCCAGTAAGTTTTGGGGTGGTTTATAACATAGCAAAAGCTAACTGGTATCAATCCATTATGATTTTTTAACTGAAACAATAAGTTTTTGAAAGAATAATATCATGTCTGGATCAATATTAAACTTATGGCCAAAGTGGGAGGATTGCTTGAGGCTAGGAGTTTGAGAATAGCCTGGACAACATAGCAAGACCCAGTCTCTACAAAAAATTTATTTTTTAAAAAATTAGCCAGGCATGGTGGCTAGTAGTAGCCCACCATGGTGGGACTTAGCCACCATGGTGGCTAGTAGTAGTCCAACTACTAGGGAGGCTGAGGCAGGAGGATCACTTGAATCCAGGAGTTTAAGGTTGCAGTGAGCTATGATGATGTCACTGCATTAAAGCCTGGCCAACATATTGAGACTCTGTCTAAAAATAAAACTTATAACTACATAGTCTATGTTCACCGAGAAATGAGTATTTGTTAGATAAATACCATAATTGATGCCTGTCTGAAGACTGCCTTCTGGAAGATGGAAGCGATATAATAATAATACACTCTGAAAGTTAAAATCATCACTGTTACAAATGTCATGAAAGGTAAAACAATGTATAAAAATTAAATTTACATAAAATGAGTCTCCTGTTTTCATTGGAAAAAATCTTTTAAGATTGAAGTTTATAGAAAAAACTGTTAATACTCATTCAGATTAATCAAGATAACATATTAAATTGTCTAATATAATGACCATTAAAGTGGTATGTTATTCCCAAGATTCAACTGGTTCTAGCCTTATGCCACATAATTGTGTTGGCATCAGTATGAAGCTTTTCTGTGCTTGGAATTTATTTCTTATCTTAAACACCAAAGAACATGTAAGAGTTTTGGGCACAAGTGATGGTGGGAACTTCCAGGGTGTTTCTCAGCCCTTCTGACTCAGAGAACCTGAGATCTACAAAGCAGTGACCGCCTTCTCTGGGGCTCTAGGAAGAGAAGAGATCTCTCTGGGATCCTTGGGACTCATGATAACTACTAGAACTTAATAAATTCTAAACCAAATTCAAAGGAAATCAGCCAAAGATCCGTTCAACTTCCTGTGCTGTGACCAAGTAGCCCCGATTTGAGATGACATGGAGATTTTCCATTACCAGGGTTAAACTACAAATTGCCACACTACCATAGTGGCATATGTCTTCATGAATAAAGAATACTTTGAAAGAACATGGCTTAGACAAGGCAAAAACAAAATAAAAATTTAATTATAAGAAAAATTTGAAGCTAATATAAGTTAAGCTTCACAAACCAGTAATACAAGTGAGATCCAGATCAAATCCTCTTTCTGTGTATCATGTAGTGTTTCCTGGGACCTGAGAGTTTAAAACAGTCATTAATTTGTAAAACATAAATCAACATATACATAAACAACATTATACAGCATAAATATCAACCCTTGACAATATGTTACAAAACATAAAACATTTTTCTGAATCATAAACATGTTTTACCTACTTACCATCCTTCTGGTCAGCTATTCAAGAGGTGTTTCTTAAGGACCCAAAAGACAAAGTCTCATCACAGTTATAATTCGCAGAATTCGAAATAAATTTGCCAATCTAACAATAAATTTAAAAGATTCATTTTTGCTTTAGAAACAGAGGATTTTGTCAGTATGGACTAAGTCTAGAGCAGTGGTTGTTAACAAGGGGCAGTGCTCTCCCCTTCCTCTGCCACCCACCTAGGGGCTAGTTGGCTAAAATGTCTGGAGGCATTTTTTTGCCTCACAATTGTTGTCTGTGTGTTTGGAGGAGTGGTGCTACTTATATCTGGTGGATAGAGGCCAGGAATACTGCTAAACAACCTACAATGAATAGACCTGCTGCCCAACCCCCTATAACAAAGAATTATCTGGCCTAAAATGTCAATATGCTGAAGTTGAGAAATTCTGGTCTAGAGAAATAGTAATACAATAGGCTCTTAGAATTTATGAATTTAACTATTGTGGTTTAAGACCCACATTTATAATTTTTCCCCATCAAAATAAACCGAGGGCTCTTGTTTACCTTTGTTACTACCATGGGTGACAGGTTCACTACAGCTACTAATGCGTATCAGGCAGGCAGCAGACTGAGATACTTTCCAAGGGTGCTAGCTGGTGTCTCTCTATCAGAAACACCATGGCAAAGAACTGATGGACTGGAGTAGTGCTTCTCTACCTTGAGCATGCATAAGTAAGAGTCATCTGGAAACACTTGTTAAACTTTAAATTGCTGGGTCTCAGAGACACTGACTCAGTGGGTCTAGGGTAGAGCCTGAGGTGTTTTTCTTACATTTTTAGCAAGCTTTCAAATAATGCTGAGGTTGCTGGTCAGAGCACCACATTGGCTCTGGTTATTTTCAAACAATTCCAATAGCCTATTACCTTGCTTAGCTGGGGCCTGAATTGTAGCTCTGGGAAACTAGGGTATAGAAAGAAGCTGTCTATTTGAACCATGAATTAACTTAGTGAGCCACTGAACATTTATATCCTAGTATATATTTTCCCTTCAGTTTTCCTCATTGCCATCGTAAAAAAGAAGGGGGAAAAAGGAGAGCCACCAGTCCCCCATACACCTTATAGTTTCCTGATCCCTAACAGGTCTAACTCTGCCTTGGCTTTCTTCATTTTTACCACAACTATACTGCAAAACTCTACTGATACCTTGCTATTCATGTCACCTCCTGGTTTTCTGTTTGCTATTTTTTAGAAAATCATGATTGAATCACTCAAGTTTTGTACATGCTCAAATTAATATTCTCTTGGCTATAGGAAAACAGATAGATAGAACCTCATGTGTAAGGAATTTGTGATTGAAGCACAAATGGGAATTTAGTGGGAATTTCAAAATGTAGAAGAGTTAAAGTTAGTACAGGAGGCAAAGCACCCAGTTCCTTCTTTGTATACTCCATCTTCTCTATTCAGTTAATAATAATTAGTGTATAAACTCTCCATTGTTCCTTACCCACACAGTTGTTTAGTTTCAAAGTATGTGGAAATATATCTAAACATTTCATTTTTTAGCAATTTATTTGGTATAGAATCAGAACATTCCAAGTTAGAAAGATCATATAGAATAAAAGCAGCCATGGAAAATGCAAAAAAAAAAAAAAATTTTGAGAGGTAAATCATGTTTCATACCTGGGGATATCACTAACAAATTTGATGTTATAAAAAATGCAAACCACATTGAGCAGCAGAATCACTATAGTAACGATAGCATCTAAGATATGAAATGCATCAGAAAAATAAAACCTGTAATATAAAACAAAAAATAGTCACATATTATAGTCACTCCACAGACTTGGAGTCTCTCTCTCCAAGAAGAGATAGAAATATTTTAAGACCACAAACTGACTCATGTGTATTAAGAATTTTACTTTAATGGATAATTTAACTATGCATTTTCTAGACTAGACTAAGAGAAATAATACAACATTAATGGAAAGTTTTCAAACAGTAAACTTATATTCATCATTTGATACATATATATGACAAAAGCTTCCATATAGAAATTTAAGTATAGTAAGAGATATAACCAAACCATTGAGCAAGAGGCAAGCATTACCTTCACATAGATGGGAGAAGAAAAGTGGGATGTTGGGCAGTGCTATTGGATAATGGAAGCTGAATATGTTACAGCCTTAGAGAAACTGGGGTATGAGAAGTGTTCAAAGGAGCTTATGAGAGGGAAAAAGGTCCACTGTTTTGGCCTGCAAACTCATGGTCTGGCTTTGCACCCACACTGGAATTCCGATGGGCTGATAAAACCTCCTCTGGGCAAAGGTGGACTTCTATTCACCACATCTTCCTCCCTACACTGGTTCCTTCAACATAGGCACTAGTCCTCAAGGAAATGCTGCTTCCAAATCTAGGGCATCCCCTTTCAGGTTCTGAGTAAACTGACAGTGGGCAACTGTTCTTAGCTGGACAGTTGGCATGAGGATAGGAAATCAGCATGGAAGGAGACAAATTGCCTTCTGAGATGCTGTGGAAGAAGTGAGGCTGGGGACTTAGTCCCCGACTCCGCCAACAGTCTAGCCCCAAGGTCTGGCTCACCCCACCCACCTTCTCAGAAAGCAAGCAAGTAGAGGAAATCAACCGCTGCCTCACTTTTAATATCTTGCTGATGGGCTGAGCAGGCCTCAGATCTCCTCTGCTTCTTAATGAGAAAGTTTTAATTCTGAGATAGGGGATTATTCATGATCTATTATGTAGTATTTAATATACTATCAACTGTAACCTAAGATTCAACTCTTAATGAATGTAGTAATATTTTTACTTCAAATACATATTCCTCTTATTAATACACATGTAGACACATCAGCGGCCTGGCCCCTTTTTGAAATCCCTTTAAGCTTTATATATTGAAGGAACCATCTAGAATACATTTGTTGGAGACCGGAGTGCCAGTTGCAACAATTACAATATTAAAGCCCAGTTTGTGAAAAACTGGGATCTGGATTGTTGTTTCTCTGTGGACCATGCCTTCGAGGAGAATTATTTTGATAAAGAGGGACACATTTGGTTGGGTTGACCTGCTAATTATTTTGAGATGATTTTTATAAAAGTATAAAGATAGCTTTATGCATTAAAAAATAATCAAACTTACTGTTCTAAATATACTCGAACAAGAAGATCGAGGAAAAAAAATAAAGCAATAGCTAGGAGAACTAATAGATATCCAAAAGGAATATAAATTGCACGAGTGAAAATTAGTTCTTTAAATACAAGTATTATATCCAGGATAATCAGGAGGACTCCAAAAGTTCTGCAATAAATAAAGAAATAATGATAATAAAGATAGAAAAGTTTTTGTTCCTATAGTTAGACTATATTTAGGCCAATGATCAGTTACCAAAATGTCATTACTTAGGATTAAACTGTTCAATGGCAGGAAAAATTGCATTGTCTTTGAATCTCAGAAAAATTACTCAGTTTTCACCCAATAGAAGCAGTTGTTAGCAAATAAAATTCCCACTGAACCACTTCAAAATGTTATCATGCTCTTTTATAGTAGACACATCAGACTAACACTTCAACACAGAAAAGGAAATTTGAATTAAAATTACATTCATCTGTTTGTAAACTCTTAAAATTTGAGAATTTCAGAAGGAGTTTATACCAATTTCTCATAATATATAAAACCTCATTAATCTAGATAATTCTTAAGAATTTAATAATAAGAAACAAACAAAAGCATGACTATCATAAACCCTTTAAAAAACCACTTTAGCAGTAATATTTTTTATCAGTGAGATTTTATTTTTTTATTTTATTTTTATTTTTTTTAGACAGAGTCTCACTCTGTTGCCTGGGCTAGAGTGCCGTGGCAACAGCCTAGCTCACAGCAACCTCAAACTCCTGGGCTCAAGCAATCCTCCTGCCTCAGCCTCCCGAGTAGCTGGGACTACAGACACACGTTACCATGGCCGGCTAATTTTTTTTCTATTTTTTAGTTGCTTGGCTAGTTTCTTTCTATTTATAGTAGAGACGGGGGTCTCGCTCTTGCTCAGGCTGGTCTCGAACTCCGGAGCTCAAGCAATCCTCTCGCCTCAGCTTCCCAGAGTCCTAAGATTATAGGTGTGAGCCACTGAGCCTGTCCATCAGTGAGATTTTATTTATTTTTTTTTTTCTTTTTTTTTTCATGATTAGGGTATCCTTAGAACATCAGTGAGATTTTAAACAAGTACATGACTACATATTCATGGGTGCACAGTGATGGACACATGACAAGGAATTCAATGCCATAATATTTACATTATTGAACTCTAAAGTACCTCCTGAGCTTTTCTCTCATGTAGTCTAAACACATTCCTCATAAATTGATTATACTATTTGCATAATCTATGAAGAGGAATTAATTAGTCTTCAAAGTACTTTTTAAAATAATTGTAATTGAAATTAAAATATTATTAATTCAAAAGGAAGCAATTATACTGTATAAATCTATGGATAGCATGAAATCTTCCTGTCACGCAGAGAAGAAGCCTAAGTTAAATGATTCCAGAATTAAAGAGCAATTCCATATGTATAAGGTATTTAATAAAACATTTTACTTATAGAATTTTAACATGCATGCTTCAGTATTTTTACTTTTACAGGTGGAAAAACATATTAATATGTGACTATCAGTCTTATGCAAATGCCATTTCTTTGCAAGTCTTAATGTCTTACTTAAACCAAAATTCCAAGATAAATTAGATTACATTAAATGGGGCACATGGGCCATTGGCAACATATTGACAGCGGAAATGCTTTCTGCTTTATTTTTTCAGATCCTTTCTTATTAAAAATACTGGTATTAAATGTTGTATGTATTTAATATATGTCCTTTTCTAGAGTCTCACATACCTATATACACAGGATGATAGAATTGAATGCAGAATTGTCTTAATCTTCCTGTTGCAAAAAGAAGTAAAAATAAAATTAATCACAGATTTCCTGTAACATACATTACAAATTCAACCAAAACACAAAGGCCTCTGAAAATATGATTTTAAAAGAAAATTCTTCAGAAGTGTATTTAATAATGCTCTTTACTAATAACTAAAATTTTCACCTCTCTGTTTCATGAGTTTTTTTACTTTCCTATCTAGAATATATGTGAATAGAACACTAAACTTTAGATAATTTTCAAAGCACCTTACTTATATATGTTATTTTACTTTTATTGTTAATTTTTATAATACAGCACCCAGTAAATAGATATCATAGACAGCATTATTAGCAGTTTACATTTGAATAATATAAAGTTTAAAGAGGTTTAAAATTGATTTGCTGAGTGTCAAGTGAATATTAGATGCCAAAGCCAAACATCAGTTCCAGCTTTCATTTCAAATCTAAGATAATCCTCCTGGTCTGAAAGACCAGCATTTCTCACAGGGACTATTGCAAATGACTCTTATATCTACTCAATGAGCTTTTGTCATTTTAAAACAAAACAAAATTTAAAAAACCCACTTTATTTTGTTTGGAGTGGGGAAAGAGGAAAGAAATGCTTCTCTTTCTCAATCTGTCTAAATTTTGTCCTATCCCCGGGCAGCTTCATTACAGAAATGCACAGCTAATATTCAGACATACAATTTAATTAAGTAGCAGAATGAACTTTATTCATTGATGGTCCATGATGAAAAAAGTTCTAGAAAGTGGAAATTCATGGTAATTTAAAGAACTGTTTGTATTCATTAGTTGCGCCCTTTGTTTCCCATGTAATCCTTGTTTAGACACGAACGAATTGCAACAGTGACCTATTAATTTCCTCTTTAGCAGTATTCTGTCTCCAATGTTGACAAAGCTGGTGAATGGTTATGTAACTGGGCAGGAGACAGGCAGAAGAAAAATCTCCTGAATGTTTCTGTAGTTCAGCCATAACCAATTTTAAGAATGTATTGTTTCATTACAGTGAGTACATAGTAAAAATGACTTCAGATCAATGCAATAGGAAGTACTCCAAGTGAGATTACTGAGAAACAAATCAAAATTAATAAAATCCCAGTGAGCACAAAGAGGCTTTTAGTTAGCAAAACATGTTCACCTTTCCTATCGGTCCCATGCGCTCATAGCAAGATCTACAAAACCAGGAACTGGATAGTATCCAGGAAAAATGAGAAAGGACAATGATTTAAGGGTAAGTAGGATTCTAGATTCCTTTGTTAAGAAAGAAATTTTAATAAAATTACTCTCTTCTATGGATATTTTTCACATTTTCAACCTAGAAGAACATTTACTTCTGAACAGATGTAATTTTTTTTCCAACATAGTATTTGTCTGCCCATTTCATTGGAGTAAATACTGTGTGCTCTCTCTCCCATACATATTTATATCTTTCTATAGTTTTCCTTTTTCTTTCTTGCCTTAGCACAAATCCTGTTTTCCCAAAGAGATCCATCAAAGGCTCCCTACTTCCATACTTCAAACTGACTTACCTATCTGAGTTGTTCAAATCAGTGCTGTCTCCTTGACCATTTTCAACTCCGGTGAGTTGTTCTGATATGCTTTAACAACCAACAAATGCAAAAATAAATCATCAGAAGATGTTTGCTACATGAAACAGTGATATGACCAATTTATTTGAACAACAAGAATTCTGAGAATCTAAAGAATATATGAAACATAACTTCGTTCCCTGGAAGGTCTAACTTTTAGAAAGAATTTTAGAATCATTGACCAGAAAACTCTTTTCTCATGGATACTTTCAACATTGAATTTGCATATTTCTCTCTTCTTCTCAGTCTCTGTCTCTATCTCTCTCTCTCCCTGTTTCTCTCTCTCTCTCTGTAATTCAAAAGGATATATATAGAATATGTAAAGGATATATATACAGGCATATCTCAAAAATATTGCAGGTTCAGTTCCAGGCCACTGCAATAAAGAAATATTACATTAAGAGAGTCACACAAATTTTTTTGTTTCCCTGTGCATATAAAAGTTACATTTATAAGCCGGGCGCGGTGGCTCACGCCTGTAATCCTAGCACTCTGGGAGGCTGAGGTGGGCGGATTGCTCAAGGTCAGGAGTTGAACCATACGAGACAGCGCTCTACTCATAAGTAGAAATAATTGGCAACTAATATATGAAAAAATTGCGGCATGTGGCACATGGCCTTATCCCAGCTTACTTGGGAGCGACGGCAGAAGGATTGCTTAGCCCAGATTAGAGTGCTGCTAGAGCCACCATGCATCCACTCTAACCATAGCAAACAGTGAACTCTGTCCAAAAAAAAGTTATTATAATCAGTGATATGTTGTTATTTAAGAAGATGTAATTCTAAAATTTTTAGCCATAATCTACTAACCTAACATATCTTGCTGCTAAGACCTGAATCAGAGTCATGATTCTAATTGTGTATCGATCTCAAATAAGACAACAATATAAACTAGACCATCACTCTATCATTTACAAACGACTTCTTCTTCATAGTAGCTATTTTTTTTTTTTTTTTTTTTTTTTTTTTTTTTTCTTTCTCCTGTTTAAGAATTGAGTGTGATGCTTTTATAGCATTTTACCCGACGCATAAGAACTTCTTTCAAAATGATTACTATCCTCTCAAACCCTGTTAGCCATAATCAACAAAGTTTAGACTATTCTAAACCTTTGTTGCATTTCAAATTATCATGCAACCATTCATAAGAGTAGTGCTATCCAAGACCACTTTCTTTCTCTCCATAAAGTAACTCCTAAGTGTCAACTTTTATCATGAATTCAAGCAATCAGTCACAGAACTTCGAGCTCACTTGAATTAATTTTGCTCTTTCCAACGTCTGCAGTACTTCATCCACTACAGTTTTGTCCTTCCAGAGTCATCCATGAGGGTTGAATCAACTCTCTCAAACTCCTGTAATATGATATTGTGATCTCCTCCCATGGAATCTCAAATATTCTTTTATTTTATTTTTTTCTTTTATTTCATCATATTATGGAGGTACAAATATTGTTAGGTGTTACAAATATTGCCCCTCCCCCCCCATGTGTCCAACCCCCAGTGGTGTGCACACACACTTATGGAGCATACACCTTTCTCCTCCCTCCAGCCTGCCCACCACCTGATAAAGCTTTTTCTTGTTTTGTTTTGTGTTTTTGACCATTTGTTACATGTGTATTCATTTGCCTCTTAAGAAGGGGTTAGACGTTATGCCCTTCCCTTCAAAATGTCGCAAGAATCCTTAAGATTGCCCCCCCGCCCGAATCCCTGGTGCATTGCCACCATTTGACAACATAGTTTTATCAGTCAGTACCAATTTGATGGCGAGTAGATGTAGAGCCCATTTTCCATGTCTTATGTCACCTCACTTTGGATAACGGGCTTAAGTTTAATCCAGGATAGCATAAATGGTGCTAGCTCACCGTCATTTCTCAGGATTGAGTAATATTCCATTGTGAGCATATACCACATTTTAATTATCCACTCATGAATTGATGGGCACTTGGGTTGTTTCCATGACTGTGCAATAGTGAATTGTGCTGCTACAAACATTCGGGTGCAAATGTCTTATAATAAATGTCTTATGCTCTTTGGTAGATGCCCAACATGCTATTGCAGGTCCGAATGGTATTTCTATTTCTAGCTGTTTGAGGTATCTCCAAATTCTTTTCCAGAAAGCTTGCACTAATTTGCAGTCCCACACAGTGTAGGAGTGTTCCTTCTCTCCGCATCCTCGCCAGCATTTTGTTGTTCTTGGTTTCTTGATATAGGCCATTCTACTGGGGTTAAGATGGTATCTCATTGTGGTTTGATTCTGCCCATTTTCCTAATAATTTAAGAAGTTGAGCATTTCTTTATATGTTTGTATGCCATTATTCTGTCTTTTTGGAGAATTTTCTTTTCCATTTCTGTCGCCCATTTCTTGATGGGATTTGTTGATTTTTTCTTGTTATTTCTTTTTAAGTTCTATAAGATTCTCCTCATTAATCTTTACAGAGGTTAGAGAGCAAATATTTTTCCCCACTTTGTGGTTGTCTATGGCTCTACTGAGTTTCCTGTCTGTGCAGAAACTTTTTATTTGATCAGATCCATTTGTCTTATTGATGCTGCAGTGATTGCCTTGGCCAGTGGATTGCCCGCTAATTTTTTAAATATATTTTTAGTTGGCCAATTAATTTCTTTCTTTTTTTTTTTTTTTTTAGTAGCGACGGGGTCTCACTCTTGCTCAGGCTGGTTTCAAACTCCTGACCTTGAGCAATCCGCCCACCTTGGCCTCCTAGAGTGCTAGGATTACAGGTGTGAGCCACCAAGACTTGAAAGTCAAAATTACTTCTTGATCCATGGGCTACAGAATGGATGTTGTGTTAGCAGGCATGAAAACAACATTCCTCTCCTTGTACATCTCCATCAGAGCTTTTGGGTGACCAGGTGCATTGTCAATGAGCAGTAGTATTTTAAAAGGAATATTTTATTTCCCTGAGCAGTAAGTTTCAACAGTGGGCTTAAAATGTTCAGTAAACCATGCTATAAACAAATTTGCTGTCATACAGGCTTTGTTTTTCCATTTAGAGAGCACAGGCAGAATATATGTAGCATAATTCTTAGGGACACTAGGATTTTCAGAATGGTCAATAAGCACTGGCTTCAATTTAAAGTCACCAGCTGCATTAGGCCCTAACAAAAAGAGTTAGCCTGTCCTCTGAACCCAGACATTGACTTTTCTCTGCCTATGAAAGTCCTATAATAGATGGCATGTTCTTCCAATAGAAGGCTGTTTCATTTACATTGAAAATCTGTTGTTCAGTGTAGTCACCTTCATCAATTATCTTAGCTAGATTTTCTGGATAACTTACTGCCACTTCTACCTCAACACTTGCTGCTTCACTTTGTACTTTTATATTATAGAGATGGCTTCTCCACTTAAACCTCATGAACAACCTCTGTTAGTTTCAAGCTTTTCTTCTGAAGTTTCTTCACCTCTTTCAGCCTTAACAGAATTGGAGAGAGTTAGGGCTTTATCTTGGATTAAGCTTTGGCTTAAGGAAAAGTTGTGGCTCGTTTGATCTTCTATCCAGACCACTAAAACTTTCTTAATATCAGCAATAAGGCTGTTTTGCTTTTTTACCATTCATGTGTTCACTGGAGTAGCACTTTTAATTTCCTTGAAGAACTTTTCTTTTGCATTCACAAATTGGCTGACTGGTGCAAGAGGCTTAGCTTTTGGCCTATCTTGGCTTTTGACATGCTTTCCTCACAATCACTTCTAGTTTTTGGTTTAAAGACAGAGATGTGTGACTCTTCTTTTCACTTGAACACTTAGAGGCTATTGCAGGCTTATTAAATGGCCTAGTTTTAATATTGTTGTACCTCAGAGAATAGGGAAGCCCAAGGACAGGTAGAGAGACAGGGGAATAGCCGGAACAGTCAGAACACATAAAACATCAATTGATTAGTTCACCATCTTCTATGGGTATGGTTCATGGTGCTCCAAAATAATTATAATATTAATAGTAACACCAAAGATAACTGATCACAGATCACCATAACAGATATAATAATAATAAAGTTTGAAACATTGTGAGAATTACCAAAATGGAACACAGGGATACCAGGTGAGCACGTGCTGTTGGAAAAATGGCACCAAGGGACTTGTTTGACACAGGGTTGCCAAAAGCTTCAATTTGTAAAAAATGCAATTTCTGCAAAGTGAAATAAAATGAAGAGCAAAAAACAGAGGTATGCCTGTATGTATATTCTCTAATATTTCCTATATCTCTCTCATACATTTATATACACATACATATATATACATATACATACATTATATATACATACACACACACACATATATATATATATATCCTTTTATATGTCATGTATAGATATGCTTTAGTACTGCCCCAAATAAATGACATCAGTAGTCTTTGATAACACGGTCACCGAAAGGTAAGATATATCAAAGTAGTCAAAGACCACTGATGTCATTTTATTCAGGTCAGTGCTAAGGATTAAAAATGTACATGTCACCACCTCATTCTCACCACCTGAGAAAGGAAGAAACAAACAAAAAAGGTTCATGTCAGGCCAGGCATGGTGGCTCATGTCTGTAATTCTAGCACTTTGGGAGGCCAAGGCAGAAGGATTGCTTGAGGCCAGGAGTTCCAGACCAGCCCAAGCCACATAGTGAGATCCATCTCTACAAAATAAATAAATAAATAAATAAATAAATAAATAAATAAATAAATAATAATTAGCTGAGCATATTTGCCCACACCAGTAACACTAGCTACTCAGGAGGCTGAGGCAGGAGGATTGCTTGAGACCAGGAGTTTGAGGTTGCAGTGAGCTATGGTGACACCACTGCACTCAAGCCAGGGCAACAGAGAAAAACTCAAAAAAACAAAACAAAACAAAACAAAAGTGCACATGTCAGAGCCAATTGTCTTTGAAGACTTACTCTTTTGGTTGAAATTAGGTACAACTGCTCTACAATTTATAAACTGGTTGAACTCTAAAAACATATGTCAGTTAATTATTTGGAACTTGGTATGTCATTTTTACCTAAAATTAAGC